AATTTTGACCATTATATTTCATTGAAGTTCTTAGATATCCAGTTTCAATCCATAGAGTATACGGAATACTGTGTGTTTTGGATATAAACTGATCTTATTTGCGGTTGTAGACAATAGCTTTACATGCTAATATTTAATATTTATCATTTATTTAGCGGAAATAAACCATTCATATGTTCTTTGTCGTGTAATGTGTATGTAACAGTTAAGTGATTTACATCAACACTATTTCATCAATATGCCATCCGAGTTCCTTGTCCTCAGTTACCTCTACTTATATGGAAAGATGAAAACGAACAATGTTCAATCTTTTTAAAAATAAAATAAAACAGCTTAAAACTTAAGATCAAGACAAAATCCAGGGGAAATTCAAGAGGTGTGATTAGGTGCCAGAATGAAAAGGCACCTCCTGTTTACCCATCACCATGAGCTCCAAATACTGATCAAGTAGACTGAACATACCTTTTTTTTTTTTACCAGAGTTATGCAGCATGATAATGAGGTAAAAGATAAAGTTCAATCGCAACTTCTCGGGCCTTTCCGACTAGCGGAAAAACGACCTCGAATGTATATGGTAGACGCCATTACAACCCTCCTTTTTCATGATCTTTGAAATAAATGCATGGAGACCTTTTATCTGTGGAATATGGAGTTTAACTTTATTCAATGTAATGATATTACCTAAAATATACTATAGAAGGGACTTCTAACTCCGTCTATCCTACATTTGACTAAACAGGAAATGTATAAATTTTTAACATCCGGCGATGTTAATACATTCGAGGTTGTTTTTCCGACCTCTGACGGAAAGACCCGAGATGATGCGATTGAGATAAAGTTATATTCTCCCTCACTTCGTTCGTCCGAATATAAATTAATGAAGTGCTAAATGAATAAAACACAACACATGTTAAGTAGGAACGCTGCTCGCTAGTGCTTTTATTCAATTCTAATACATAACCACTTTATGAAACCAACTGTATAGCCCAACTTCATTACACTCCATTGCATTACTATCCTCCATATTTCTTACAATCTTTAAATCCTAGCGAGCAAGCTTAGAGTGCCGTGCTACCGCATGGCCTTACTATTTATACCCCAAATAACCACGTGACTTCAGAAGAAAACTTTTCGAACACATACTGCACATAATTTTAATTATATTCTCCCTCACTTCGTTCGTCCGAATATAAATTAATGAAGTGCTAAATGAATAAAACACAACACATGTTAAGTAGGAACGCTGCTCGCTAGTGCTTAGAGATTCAAAGAGATTTATCATTGGGCTGATCGATTTCCTACAATGCAATTATAACCATATATAGACAGATATAGATTCACAAAAACAATTTTAATAATCATATACACAAACAACAAAATTTATATGCGTAAATTCTTCGTTACATTTAACTGCTTTGAAACAGAATCCTTAATGTAATTATCCCTTGAAAAATCTGTCTTCCAACGACCATGTATTTTCAATAACCTGTCATTTACCCCACATGAAGCTGCAGAAGTAGCGCCACCACTACGTAAACTATGTAAACCAAATAGCTTTGAATCCACACCAATGGTCGATAAAGAATCAAGTAATATTTCACGTGCCCTGGTGTAAGAAATAGGCTTGTTGATATTACAAAGCCTGTGACAATTAGCTGATTTGAAATAACGTACAGATCTAAAAATGAAATCGTCTGGTTTTCCTGATATTCCAGCTAACTGTAAATAATGTTTTGCCCAAAACACAGGACATGTAGCATTACCTGTACTTGCAATGAGAACATCATTACCTCGTCTATAAACGTCAGTTTTGCTGCTTTCAATATGTAAACACATGTAAAAATCATGAAAAGAAATATTTCTAACTCTTAAGTTCGCAAGTTCATTAAATCTTAAAAACCCCGCAAATCCCATCGGAAACATAGCACACACTCTTACACTTAATAAGTCATTTTTCCGACTGTCATCACCGTATTTGTTTATGATCTGCTCCAAAATTTCGGGCGTAATAGGTTCCTTCTTCTGAATCGGCTTACTAAGGATTCTTTTTCCTCCTTCCATAACCATATGCAGAATTTTTGTATCACACGGATTAATGCACACATTGAAATCATGGAACCACTTAATACTGTAAAAATAAGCTGATAACACTGATTCTGACACCGACTGTTGCACGAGACTGCTAAGAAATACGGCTACCGTACTCACTGCCGCGGGTAAATGAGAAACACCATGATCTGAACACCAGGTCCTGAACTTTTTAAAATATGTGTCGTACATTTTATTTGAACTATCACTCTTCCCTTTCCTGATTATGTGCTGAATGTTTGATGCTGCTGAAGAAAGTCTGCTGTCCTTTTTCATTTCCTGAATTTCTGTCCAAACACTGCGTACCTAAAGAAAAAATGTTCTCATATTAAGATTATGAAACCACCGTCATATCCAAATACATGCATCAAAATAATAATTTCATCACCCAAAAAGTGTCGTGTTTTTTAAACAATTAGTCAAATCTTTTTTCACATGGTGCTTAATTTTTTGCACATGGTGCCTTACTAATAGATCAGTTCATACAAACTTTGCACATGGTGCATGAATTTTTATTTTACATTGAACTGCACATGGTGCTCAAATTTTATACTTTTCAGGATGTTCCAAAATTTACTTTCAAAACCAGTACATTGCTCTGAAATTTTTCTGATGCAAAAATACCGTTTTTATCTGAACCAGCTGTGAAAAAATTTGTAGGATTTTTATATTCAAAAAACTTCAGCACAAAATCGTAAAATTTATTTTTCCTTTCATTCCAAACCATCGGCCAATACAAAGCGGATTTCCATTTTGGAATGATTAACGTTCCAAATGCTTTACATATTTGCATATGAGTATCAAAACAGGTGGGGGCACAATCCAACAATTATCGTCAGCCCAATTTTGTGCAAACGCATCAACCCCTGAAGATCCGGGAGTCCAAAATCTAGAATAAAATTTTTTAACTTTTCTATTCTTACTATCTGCAAATAAATCACAGGTATACTCTCCCCATACTTCATTAAAAAATTTAAAAATTCTGTTTGAAACTCCCCAATCATCAAAATCATAAATCTTGCTTAATTCATCTGCATCTGTATTCATAGTTCTAGGAATCCATTCTAACTCTAATTTTATCGAATGCGCAACACACAAACCAAACATTTCCAAAGCAAGCTGATGCAGCTCGTAGTTCATACTACCTTTAGATGCAATAAGTACTGCATTTTTATTATCTGTATATACTTTGACAAGTCTACCCGACAGATAATTATGCAAACTCTCAATAATCACACAAATAGCTTTTATTTCTCGCCACGTAGAACTTTTTATTTTTTCTGAATCACTCCACATGTAATGCACTACCTTTTCATTTTGTTCTAAAGAAAAACCTGCTCCTGCAAAAGAGCTCGCATCCGAAAACAAAACTTTTGCAGGTATTTTTCTGAACCGTGTAATTTTTGATCTCGGTAAAGTGACCAAATTCTTGTACCAGAAAAGCAATTCAATAATACAGTCACGTGACATATTCAATACACAATCCCATCCAGTTCTCTTACACAATGCCATGCTCAAGTGCCGTGTCATCAGCTGACAAATATTACCTAAAGCAGGTTTCAATGAAATAACCTTGCCCACAATAGAAGCGACATTTTTACTCTACTTACATTGTTCACTATCGAAGCAACAACAGAACGAATACTGTCAATTTTTTCATTCGGAACTTCTAAAATGCCATCTTTCAGATTCCATATAAATCCTAACCAAATCATTTTGTCTACTGGAACAAACTGCGATTTTTCTATATTAAACTGAAACCCTGAGTGATCTAACGTTTTCTGTAGAAACGCGGCTATTTCTATACAAGAATTGTAATCAGAGCAAACCCAACCATCATCGAGATAAACTACGACAGGAATGCTATGAGATCTCCAATATTTTACCAATACCCTCACAACTTTTGTGAAAATATGCCCTGCAGAAGAAAGCCCAAATGGCAAAACAGTGAATTCAAAATATTTCCTTTTTCCTTGAAATTCCCAACTAAACCCTAAATACTTTTGAAATTCGGGATGTACATCTACATGGTGGTAACCCGATTTAAAATCAAATTTTATCATGAATTGTTCTTCTCTAGCATATAACATAGCTTCCTTAATTCCCTCGAATTTAATTTTTTGTTTCTCAATAAACTGATTAACATGTCTGAGATCTAAAACAAGACGTTTTTTACCAGACGCGTTAACAGACACAGTCAAAGGATTAACTACAAAAGATGGTTCTTGAACCTCTCTAACACACCCAGTCTTAATTAGGTCAGAAATAGCTGAGCAAACAAATTCTGCATGATTTAATGAAGACCTGTTATTTTTTAAAATAATACTATATGGAAGTTCTTTGAAAGGTATAGCATACCCACATCTTATAGTATTCAAAATAAAACTATTAGCATTAAGCTCGTCATTCCAGAAGTTTATGCTTTTCTTGAGCTTGGATTTAACACTAACCATCTCAGCATTTTGCTCATATTCATATTGCTCATTTAAATCAAACATATACTCAACTTCATTATTTTCACTGCTTAGAGGTTCCACTTGTGCATGTAGTTGAGGTTGACAAGGTGGGGATGGGCTGGCCTTTGAGGTATGGGCAGTCTCTGACCATGTGTCCGACTTGCCGACAGTAGAAACATCCGCCACGATCTCTTTGGAACTGGAATCCTGTATTTCCGACCCTTGAAGCCCCTGTGTTGAATTTTTCGGAGGAACTATACGACTGGCTAAAGCCACGAAAAAAGTCACTGGGCGCAAAACTTCCTCTGCGTCTTTCATACGGTTTTGCTCTGAAGGATCGTTTTCTTGCAGCACGCCCCACAGCGTAACGAAGCTTAGTGGCATCTTCGGTATTATCTGCCAAAGGGTCATCGAGATACTCGTGCACGGTATCCCATCCGTGACGGTCAGCGATTTTCAGAATTTTGTTTCTCTGTTGCAGGGCTGTCTTTTCTTCCTTAATAACTGCTGCAGCCTTTGTTAAATCAACTTCCTGAATGAGACCTTCAATTTCAGACAACTTAGAAAGTCTATCTTGATTAAACGCAAATTGAATCTTATGCCCCTCATGCTTAAATTCAAATGCTTGTCCGGACTCAGGCACGTGCGCTGCACTTTTCAAGGCATTACTTTTTCCTAGTTGTTCTGTAAGTCCCGCAATTGTACTCACAATCACATTACTTTGTTTTTCTAAGGCTTTGTTGAGTGAACTACTAAACAGCGAAACGGCGTCCTCGTTTGAGAGCCCAACTTCATTACACTCCATTGCATTACTATCCTCCATATTTCTTACAATCTTTAAATCCTAGCGAGCAAGCTTAGAGTGCCGTGCTACCGCATGGCCTTACTATTTATACCCCAAATAACCACGTGACTTCAGAAGAAAACTTTTCGAACACATACCGCACATAATTTTAAATAACGAACACTGATTGATCCCATAGAAAACTATAAACAATACAAATCTGTCAAGAGGGCATAAAACACGCACCCCTGGGAGATTCCAGAAGTGGGACCAGGTGTCGGAATAACCCTCCCCTGTTGACCAGCTGGATTCATCGGGAAGACGGAACTTTCCTATGTCAGTTCAGTATAAAACCAAAAAAGGCCTAATGATTGGCCTATGACGAATGTCAGTCAAATTGTGACCCAATGTTGTTAGGGTAAATTTGCTTAATTACGTCATAAAAATTACTGTAGAAATTAAAGCGAGCTTTTTGAAATCCCTGTAAGATAATCTTTTCTGTCAGTAGCTCTTTTGGTTTAATTAATTTGTCCTTATGGGAAACCAATACTATGATAAGATAGATAATTTCGCAAAGTAATTTATCCTCAATTATCTTTGGTTTGTTTAAATAGAGTTTAGAAGCAGAGACCTTTAAATATTCAATGCATTCAATACCAACAGACCAAAAGATTTACTTCTATATCTTTTTGTGTATTTTTTTTCTTTGTTCTTTTTTTTATTGAACCTAAAAGATTTGCATCAAGTATTTTTCATATATTTTTGAACAATGCAAAAAAAAAAAATTCTGTGGTTGTATGGCAAATAACGGATTTTTATTCGTATTAGAATTTGTTGGTGTAGTAAAAATATTTAGAAGGAAAACTTTTGTTGATGGATAACTATTTACAAACACGGGTACAAAATTAATATTGTGACGTTAAAAAAAACAATGCTTTGATATGTTTTAAATGTGAATTTTAATATGTATGATATTCAATATGATTTTTAAATGTATACCTCAAAATTTAATGGTGTGCTAATAAAATATGGTTCTTCTTATTCTCTGTGTTCTACTCTCTTCACATCATAAAGCATAAAATTTACATCTAGAAAAATAAGCTTCACTTCATACCTCATACTTTTTTAAGCTAATGCCTTTGATATCAATGAAAACCAAGGTTTTGATGTTAATTAAAACTCACATTTTCCAAGTTAGGGCTTAGGGTCATAACATGTTTATCATTTCTACTAATTAAAGCATTTGGGAAAAACATCATAATTATAACATCATTCCACAGTTTTGACATTCCATTTGTTCCACAGAAATTTTAGGATGGTACTGGAACATTTCTTAAAATAAACCAAAACATTGAGACCTAAAAGATCTGTTAAGACAGTCATATGAATGGTAAACATTGTCTAATCGGGATATACTAGAACTGCAAAAGAACTTCGATAGAAATGTTAAGCCTATGCCAATGACACGAAATAGAGAATTTCCTCAAATCAGAGCCAACTCTAAAACAAAATTGTGGACTAGACACTACTGGGAAATCGAGGATACATGCAGCATTAACTTTTCTTCCACAAATAGTTTAAAAGGTATGAAAAATACATATATTATGTTTTATACATACATATATAAAAATTTTTACTAACAAGAAATGTTTGTGCAAGATACGTGTTTTACATATAGTTAAAGTCATACCAATAATAAGTAAAATTGAAATATACGTAATAGAGAAGGGATATTGATACTGAAGTAAACGAGCCCCTTTTTAGCTCATCTGAGCAGAAGGCTCAAGTGAGCTTTTCTGATCACGTTTTGTCCGTCGTCCGTCCGTCTGTCTGTCCGTCTGTAAACTTTTAACATTTTCGACTTCTTTTCAAGAACCACTGGGCCAATTTTGACCAAACTTTATACAAAGCATCCTTGGGTGAAGGGAAATTTAAATTATTAAAATAAAGGGCCAGGTCCCCTCACAAGGGGAGATAATCAAGAAAAGACAAAAATAGGGTGGGGTCATTAAAAAATCTTCTTCTCAAGAACCACTGGGCCAGAAAAGCTGAAACTTATGTGGAAGCATCCTGGTATAGTGTAGATGATAAATTGTTCAAATCATGACCCCCCAAGTAAGGGCGGGGCCACAATGGAGAATCAAAGTTTTACATAGAAATATATAGGAAAAATCTTTGAAAATCTTCTTCTCAAGAACCACTGGGCCAGAAAAGCTGAAACTTATGTGGAAGCATCCTGGTATAGTGTAGATTCTAAATTGTTCAAATCATGACCCCCCAAGTAAGGGCGGGGCCACAATGGAGAATCAAAGTTTTACATAGAAATATATAGGAAAAATCTTTGAAAATCTTCTTCTCAAGAACCACAGGGCCAGAAAAGCTGAAACTTATGTGCACATGGAAGGATCCTGGGGTAGTGTAGATTTCAAAATGTCTAAATTATGATCAGTGGGGTAGGCTGGGGATGCATTATGTATTACAAGGGGGAAATCTGGTAAAGAACAGAATGGTCAAAGCTTCTCAGGTGAGTGATGTGGCCCATGGGCCTCTTGTTATAAATATGATCTTACTTTCGTAGAAAAAGATACTCTGGTATATAAAGTTGAATACTGCAACTTCGTTTGCTCTTAAAGGAGTCAATAATATTTGCACGCTTTCAAAATGATAAAGTGAATAATATTTAAAAATACATGTATACCGATATAGCTATAAACTTAACTGGCTGAAAGGGTGGGTTATGGTTTACTGAAACCAAAGTCTGTTGTTGGTCAAATAAACGTAGAAAGGAGAAAATTATTTTTATTTACTCTAGATAAACCGTCTGCCAGTGGAAGCAAATAAATACATTTACCCCGAAAGGGAATCCTTCAAAAGAATCCATACACAAAATGAGGATGTCAATGCTTCCAAATATAATACTAGTTGGAAGTGAAGAGGAGATGTTTTTTTACTGATAAGGAGACACTCTTCATTGATTGATTGATTGTATATTGTTTAACGTCCCTCTCGAGAATTTTTCACTCATATGGAGACGCCACCATTTGCCGGTTGAGAGCTGCAAATTTTGTCCTATACTCGGCACTTAAGGCCATTGAGCAGGGAGGGATCTTTTACGTGCCAGCGCCTACTGCGATACGGGACCTCGGTTTATAGGGTCTCATCCGAAAGACCGGTCTCCACGTCCCACAGTGTGATTCGGACCCGCGACGTAAGGATTAACTCCTTACCTCGCGACTCTGGAGTCCTTCATTGAAAAGGATAGACATAATCCTGAAAAGGCTTTAAATCAAAAAACAGAAATATCTCATATCATAACACAAGAGCGTGATCAAAATTTTTGTCAGTTATGGAACTCAATTCATAACCTACCTACCTACCCTCAAAGACGATGACATAAGCCATTACGACATGAATTAAATCGAATAGAAATTATTGCAGACGTACAGTGTATTCATATATGTTTACCAGTTAAATACTCTCTCTCTCTCTCTCTCTCTCTCTCTCTCTCTCTCTCTCTCTCTCTCTCTCTCTCTCTCTCTCTCTCTCTCTCTCTGTTTCTTTTACGGATATGGACGGCGTGATTTCTTCCCTCTGCCGGAAAATTAATGTTTAATATATTTGTTAACAGCCAGGGGTGCAGTTCCCAGCAGGCACACAACGTTGATTAAACGTTGAATATTAGTTGAAGTTGGGTTTAGACGTTGATCCCAGCAGGCACACAACGTTGTTTAAACGTTGAATATTTGTTGAAGTTGGGTTGAGACGTTGATAAATCTAGATACAATATTGATTCAACGTTGACTTTTCAATGTTGAAAATTTAACGTTGAATCAACATTGAATTCAAATTGAGTTGAAATGACAACATTGATTCAACGTCGGATCTTCGCTGAGCGGGCCAATCCTATTTTTCGCTGATAGATAATTTGGACTATGATAGTGTCGGACTATAACACTGTCGGACCATAACGAGGTCGGACTTGACAAAGTCGCACTACCGTATATCATTACTAAAAAATTAAACACTTACTGTTTACAATATATACTTTTTTTTCATATAGCGATATACCGTATGTTTTCATTTAAGGGGTCCCGACCCTCTACTATCAAGTTTTGAATTTGTAATATTGATTTTCATGAACAACAGTAACATTAGAACCACGTGGAAAATAGTTTGAAGTATAAAGCGCTGCTTATTTTTTCAGAAATGATTTTTATGTGCAGATCATGAAATGAAGAAATTGAACACAGAGAATATAAAGAGTAACGATTTATTACCACACATTACCACAACATTAAAAATAATATATGAGGTGCATATGAAAATAATACTATTATACCTATTCAAATCATGTTAGAAAACATCATGCAGCGATGTTTCTTTTTTAAGTCAGAAAATCACAATGTTGTATGCGGTTGTAAGAAAAAAAATATATATCTGTTATGAGGAGTTATCTTTCTTCTAAATATTTCTTCATGTGAAAAAAAGTCATTCTAATTGAAATACTGTATTAAGTAATTGAAATATTAAACCATTTTTAAAATGGTACTTAAAAAATACAACTTATTCAATTTATAAGGCATTTGATGTTGGATTTAAATGTTTTATTGTTAAATATAATAACACAATTACAAAGAAATTTGCAAAAGAAATAGAAAGTAATGTTTCCATCATGTGCTTGTTCTCATCAAATTGACTACTCAGAGGTCTGAAGAAACTGATTAAGAGAACTGTGAGTAGTACTTGGTACCTCACATTATAACCATAAGCTGTAACTGTACATCAAATTTTATTCGCGTGCGAGAAATATCCGCGAGTTTCGCGACCTACTTTAACTCGTTAATATTAATCGCCGCGAACTATTTATTTTGCTTTGCATTTGAGAGGTAGTGTCCCTTCCACAAAAAGACAATTCAATTTCGAATTGGGCCATTGGAATCAGATAAAAATGGTTCATTTTCATTATGACTCCGTTTGTAAGAAGCACATACTTTCCTAAATTTTCACTTAAATTTGATCACTTTTTGAGATAAAAAAAAAAAACAGACAGGGGATTTATCTCTTGGGAAAGGTTTAGATCTGTTATTCCTAGAATTCATCACCATATTCCCTTGCATTTATCTATTTACAAAAGAATCGAAACCTTTTAAACGTTAAATTGCCAAGTTGTAAATGCAAACATTGTTTATTGTTCTTACAATTGCAAGCACAGATATCCATTTTATCTCTCATCTACAAAATTGTTTGAATAAATATCTGGAGCTAACATAAAAATGAGTTTAACTGTTATATTGATCACGTAAAATGTTGAAAATATTTTATTTCTTTTTTGGACTCTAAGGATGCTGTACCGAGGAAATCTATTTCTTTTGATATTTTTAACGTCCTTGGTACAAGCATGTTGGGGAAGGGATGACGTGACAGCGGAAAATATGACATCATTGAGGAAGTATTTACTGCGGGACTACGACCCTTATTTACGACCCCGAAAAATCCAAGCTGATCCATTGATCATTAACGCTTCGTTTTTCGTCCATCGCTTTAATGATATCAATGAAAAGGAAGAAAGTATTTCTTTGCTCGGATACCTCAGGATTTCTTGGAATGATGAATTCCTGGTCTGGAACAAACAAGAACATTCCAATATAAGTACCATAGAGTTTAAAACAAACGATATTTGGTGGCCCACGATTGCTTTAGGGAATCCTGTCGGAGAGTTTGAGACTTTTCAGAATCCTTTCAAGATTTTTCGCGTCTCATCTTCTGGTGATATTGAGTGGTATCCTGCCGGGTTATATTCAGTTACGTGTGAGCTGAATCTTAAAAAGTACCCTTTTGATGAACAAACATGTGATTTCATGTTCGTGGCAATTGGATACTCTCCCGATGCCGTAATAATCAATGCAGAACTTAGCAATCTTCAGAATCGTGAAACAACCGAGTGGAAAGTTGAGGCCGGCAGAGTTTCCAGTATGCCTTACGGAAAGACCGGTCTGACTGCTAGCTTCACATTACAAAGAAAACCGTATTTTGTGGTATTGACGGTCTTGTTGCCACTCTCTTTGCTGTCTGTGATGAATTTGTTTGTCATTCTAATTCCTGTGGAGTCTGGCGAGAAAATATCTTTCGCAATCACCACATTTCTGGCCTACTCGATTTATCTCTCGGCCATTGGATCCTCTCTCCCTGCCAAAGACAATGTATACATGGTGGTATACATAGAAATACTGATGGTTCTTAGTGTTATTATGATGGTATCGGTCATTGTTCAAACCAGACTCTTCTTTTATTATGGTGAACATCATCTGCCTTGTTTTATTGGAAACACAATTTCAGAGAAAATCTTGATAACAAATAAAGGTGACGTTAAAAACATGCTCTCTATGGAAACTTCAAAACCATTGAAAAGAAGAACATGGGCAAACAGTGTGATGATTATTGATAAGGTTCTTTTCATCTCTTTTTCCTGTGTTTTAGGGTCAGTCAGTATCTATTATTTTGATTTGATGATGGCCAAATCGTAAAAATAAATAAAATCATGCGGGAGGACTTTTTGTCCTTTGAATCCTAAAAGTTTATTGTTGCTCTTAAAAAAAAAATATTTTATAGTTTTTTGGAATGTTCAAACGTCGACACAGTGCTCACTACATCTACTTCTTTCGATCGTTTATCTGATTTGTTTTGTTTGTTTGCTGCTTTAAGTCTCTCTCGAGAAATTTTCATTCACATGGAAACGCCACCATTTCCTGGTGGAGGGCTGCCAATAAATTTGTCGTATGCTTAACACTCAATACCTACTGCAAACTTCGGTTTATATACGGTCTTATCCGAAGGACCGGACTCCACGTCCCAGTGGAATTCGAACCCGCGACGTAAGGATTGACACTCTAGAGCAGACGCTGTAACCACTGCGCCACGCAGGTGAATGTAACTTATTTGCAACTCGCTTTCGGAGACAAGTAAAATAACAGCTGAAACAAAAGAGATTTAATAAAAATTTCTACACAAAACAGAAAATATCACTCTGACACTTGTTTGTTTTGAACCAGTAACTAACACAAGTGATGAGTTCAAGTCCTGCATTGTTATTCTTTTAATTTCAATGCAATATAGTATTGCTATGTTAATGTCTCCAACAAAAATTACTTTGATGCTGGAAGGGTGTCAACAACCTCATTCAATTAAAATGAACCTTTCTCATATTAAATATTTTATGTAAACTGAGTGTAAATCTATATATTCCATACAATTTTAGGCATTGACTACGTAATGAATTTGAAGGATATACGGAGAGAAGCTAAAATTAGATGTGGTAGTACACAGCCACTTTAGATGCCAATACTTAATAAATATATACTGTTAGTTATCAATCCTAAAATGTTTTTAATTGTGAATTCAATATGTATGATATTCAATATAATTTTCAAATGTTTATTATATCAAATTTTAATTTTTATGTTGTGATAGTAAAATACTGCTCTTCTTATTCTCTTGGTTTTACTTTCTTCATATCAGCAGAGATAGACTGGCATTATTAGGTGGGGACTAGCACCTCTCAAGCTGACTCCTCTCTGAAATAAAATTCTGGGAATTATCGGGACAAGGGCTATCAAGGGAGTCACAACAATTGAACGATTTAAAAATTAAGCTAAAAAAGAGAACTAGATTTGAAGGAGATTCTGTGAAGACGACACCCAATCCATAGTTACAGTATACATGAACATATATGTATATACTTTTTATAGATCAAGTGCAATAAACATTATGCAAGTAATTGAGTTTTTCGCCAATACTAGTTGTTAATAATTCATCAAGGAGATCCGGCTCGCCATATCCTCATTAATAAAATTAAGTACTTGTTTGAGACATAGCAAAAACAGACCAGGGTATTCATTTGTTGGGAAAGGTAGAGACGCGTTTCCCCCATTATACAGCATCATTTCTTTGCATTTATCTATTTACAGACAAATCGAAACCTTTTAAACCTCCATTTGCCTAGTTGCAAAGGCAAACACTGTTTATTGTTTTACAATTGACAACACTTGTATCAGCTTTATCATTCATTTACAATTACAAAATCTATATCATTGCTTTAAAAAATATTTGCAGTTAACATAAAAATTAGTTTATGCGTTCTATCGATCGGAAAAAAGTAGAGAATATTTTATTTCTTTTTTAGACTCTAAGGATGCAGTTTGGGGGAAATCTTTTCTTTTTGTTGATGTTAACCTTCTTGGTTAAAGAATGTTACGGGGGAGATAATGTGACTGCAGAAAATGTAACATCTTTTCGGAAGTCTTTACTGCGGGACTACGACCCTTATTTACGACCCCGAAAAAATCAGGGTGATCCAGTCGTCATTAACGCTTCGTTTTTCGTCCATCGCTTTAATGATATCAATGAAAAGGAAGAAAGTGTTTCTTTGCTCGGGTACTTCAGCATTTCTTGGAATGATGAATTCCTAGTATGGAACAAACAAGAGCATTCCAATATAAGTAGCATAGAGTTAAAAACAATGGAGATATGGTGGCCCACAATAGCTTTAGGTAATCCTGTTGGAGATTTTGAGATTTTCCAGAATCCTTACAAGATGTTTCGCGTCTCATCTTCTGGTGATGTTAAATGGTTTCCTGGCGGTTTATATTCTGTTAGGTGTGAGTTGAATCTTAAAAAGTACCCTTTTGATGAACAAACATGTGATTTCATGTTCGTGATAATCGGATACGAAGATAATGATGTAATAATCAATGCTGAACCTAGTGTTCTCCATATGTCTGGAACAACCGAGTGGGACATTTCAGCCAGTAAAGTTTACAGGGTATCGAACGGAATGAGTGGACTAACTGCTAGGTTTAGTCTACAAAGAAAACCATTTTTTGTGGTTCTTACGGTGTTGTTGCCACTCTCTTTGCTGTCTGTTATGAATTTGTTTGTCTTTCTCATTCCTGTGGAGTCTGGCGAGAAAATATCATTTGCAATCACCACATTTCTGGCCTACTCGATTTATCTGTCGGCCATTGGATCCTCTCTCCCTGCCAAAGACAACGTACACATGGTGGTATACATAGAAATACTGATGGTCCTTAGTGTTATTATGATGGTATTAGTCATTATTCAAACCAGACTCTTCTTTTATTATGGCGAACACCAACTTCCATGTTTTATCGGAAACCCTGTGAGTGACAAAATTATGGACGGAGCCAATTCAGATGACAAAAACAAAATGTTCCCAACGAGAACATCAAAAGAGTTGAAAGGCAGAACGTGGTCAAACAATATGGCGATCATTGATAAAGCTCTCTTCGTCTCTTTTGTTTGTATTTTAGGATCAGTTAGCATATATTATTTTGATTTGATGATGACCAAATCTTAATTCATACATTGTTTAAAAGGTTTTTTCATGACTGATTTTTAAAAAAAAAAAGCATATTTTCTGTTTCTTTGTACTATTATTTACAGAAACTTTCAAATAAAAGAAGTAGTTCTCATTAATACACTACAGAATTTCTCTCTTTTTGTATTAAGGAAAAGGTTTACTTTGCAAACGTGCAAGGGTCTAGGATATGTCAATCAAAAGCGTCCCGAAATTCGTACTTTCAATAATTTCCCGAATTATATTTTCCTGTGAAATGATATAGCGACATATACGAATTGAAAAGTTTGAAAAAAAAATATGATTACTTCAAATCTGTTTCTAAAGCCCCTTTAATAAAGTCCTAGCTGCAGATCTGTAGCTCTCCGAAAGAAATATATTGATAGACTGGAGAGCTACAGTGCCACCCATTGAAAAAACTGTATATTTATTGCGCACGAAAAAGTGCGCTCGGTTCTCGATTTATTTCTCCATGTTTCTAAAGCTGTAATCTCAAGATATTACTAACCGTGTGTTCCTAACATATTCTTTCGCTGTTTCCAAAACCAAACATTCCTCATAATTGTTGTTTATAGTCCTCCTGACCCGGATATTGTAATCATCGAACATTTCGCTTATTTATACTGCCATTTTGGTTTCAAAGATAATTCGGTCCAATATGCTTCGTTCGGATGTCAACCACGAGAGTACTTGTTAGAAAATAAGGGGATTTTTTAAAATCTTTCATTATTTTCAATTGAGAAAAGAATTAAGAATCGAGCGCACTTTTTTGTGCGCAATAAATATACAGTTTTTTCAATGGGTGGCACTGTAGCTCTCCGGTCTATCAATATATTTCTTTCGGAGAGCTACAGATCTGCAGCTAATAAAGTCCTGAATAAGGCAAACATTTCAGAATTAGAAACTAATTTCAGAACCACAGAGCCAAAACACTGACTTATACTAGTATATCAGAAATCATGATTTTCACACATGTATTGAGGATCACGTGGTTATGTTTGATTTAAAACGACAACTATAACAAAGAAAAAAATCAAATAAACTTTAAAGTTATTGAAAGTCACTTTTCAGAATGACTTAACGTTTGCTTTTCCATCGTCAGCTTATATGTAGTCCTATTCCCCGGTTTTCTGTCTGTGGTGTTTGCGTATTTTATTTCAGTCGATGCTCAAGAACATGCTGTGAACACGATATATTTTAAAACCAGTCTAGAGAGGGGATTTGACTGCCTCGTTTAAAGCCAGCATTTTGTAATTTCTATGGCCGTTATTAAGACATCTTAACAAATGAATGTATGACCTATCAGTACGCTGTTCGATGGGTTTCATACAATTTCTAAGGCCTTTGTTATAGTGCTGAACTTGATTACGGAATTATCAGTCTTTCTGATCAATAAAAAAGGCCCACAATGGCCAGTCAACACAAAAGGCCCGCAATGGCCAGTCAACAAGGGATGTTTTCTCCTCCTAGGCACCTTAACCCATCTCTGGAGTTTCCAGAGATCAGTGTTCTCTGCATTTTCACAAATTCTTTGTACATTTTTTTTTAAAGATCTAACACTGTTTTTATCCTCACCCTATAAAATAAAAAATCTATTTTATGTCTGTCTTAAATAAAATAGTATAAACGGCCTTTGTTTCCATATATCACATTAAATGTATACCTGAGTATTTGATGATCAGAGCATCATCTTTATCCTCATGAGTACAAACTGTATTATGTGTTTATACCAACTCCAATCAATTTTTTTCATTATCTTTTTATTTAGTTTCTGGAATGGAATGATTTTATATGAATGTTATTGATTGAACAAGGTTTTGCAATTACTTAATTAATGCATTCTTCGCGTAGTTTAAAAATAAAGTACAGAAAACAGAATTCATCGGCATGCTAAAAATGATCTACCGGTACATCGAGATTCTTCTTACTTGGAATGTTATTCATTTGTTGGCAATCAGTGGATGCTTAGGGAGTGATAATGTTACTGCAGCGAAAGTGACGTCATTGAGGAAAACTTTACTGCAGGACTATGATTCTTACCTACGACCGCGCAGACTACAACTTGACACGGTTGTCATTAATGCTAGTTTTATCGTCAAGCGCTTCCACGATCTCAATGAAAAAGAAGAAAAAGTTTCCTTGCTCGGATACTTTCAGTTTCAGTGGAGTGACGAATTTCTTGTCTGGAATAAAGAAGACCACTCGAATATCAGCGACATTGTCGTAAAAACAAATGATATATGGTGGCCAACAATAAGTCTGGGTAACCCTATCGGAAATTTTGAGAACTTACAAAACCACTACGGCATCTTCCATGTGTCATCCTCTGGAGAGATAAAGTGGTCTCCAGGTGGTCTCTTTACTGTAGCATGTGACTTGAACTTAGAAAAGTATCCTTTTGACACCCAAACGTGTGATTTTGTGTTCGTGGTACTTGGATACTCTTCAGATGCCGTCATCATCAACGTAAATCCGAATGTCCAACAAGTAAAAGGGACAACAGAATGGGATGTTGTTAGTGCAAATATGTTTGGAATCTCAGGAGAAAAAACTGGACTGACTGTTAGCTTCACTCTTCAGAGAAAGCCATTCTTCGTTGTTTTGACGGTTCTGCTGCCCTTATCTTTGCTCTCTCTGCTGAATCTTTGTGTCTTTTTGATTCCGGTTGAGTCGGGAGAGAAAACGTCATTTGCTATAACAACATTTTTAGCGTACTCGATTTACCTCTCAGCCCTAGGGTCTTCTCTTTCTGCCAAAGACAACATATATCTGACCATGTACATAGAGATTCTGATGATCACCGGTGTGATAATCGTGCTGATAGTAATTGTGCAAACACGGCTTTTCTTCTACTACGGCGACCATCGTCTTCCATGTTGTCGCATAAAAACTGTGCATGGTGAAGAAATTGACGTCAAAAATACCATCACAAGGAAGGTATCTCTAGATAATGTAAAAGAGTTTAGAACGTGGGCCAGTAGCATGGGGATATTAGACCAAGTCCTCTTCTTTCTCTTCTTCTGCATTCTAGGTTCAATAACTGTCTATTACTTTGCGATGATGATGTTTTAACTTCTTGGATTTTAACACAGTAATTAATAAAATTATTCAAAATGATTGTTCATTAGCTTTTAGCATGATCTCTTTTATTGGATTGATTACGATTTTTGATCGAATGATCATCATGAACGAAATATATGTTGTATGCATGCCCACAGACAAATTCCTAGACACAATCTATCTCTCTGACTCTTACTTCTTCTTTTTCTTCTATAATCACTGATAACTTTACTGATGAAGACTCCAATGTATTTGTTGGAAATAACCGTCTCCGAGGAGCCTGTGTATAGTGTAGTTAGTTGTAAAGTGATTTCGCTTGTTGGTAATTTAAATATGCTACACAATTTTCTGGTTAGAATGTCATCGACCAGTTCTCTTCTCATATAGTCAGAGAGTCCAGATCCTTTGTAAGAAATCTACATCAGCCTTTTTGTTAATTGGTCTGCATAGGAGACAGTCGTCTGCAAAAGGGCGAGCATTTGATAGAGTCCTTTCAGGCAGGTCGTTGGTGTGGAAGAGAAACAGAAAAGGTCCTAAGATTGTCCCCTGTAGCACTCCTGACCTAACAGTGCAGTTGTTAAAGTATGGCCCTCCACAAGCACTTGCTGTGCCTTATGTGTTAGAAAGTCGGTACTCCACTGGATAGTGGCCCTGTACTCCATAGTTATTTAGCTTATGAACTAGTCACTGTTTAAAGACTTAATCAAAAGCTTTTGAAAAGCCAAGTAATTAATATCTTCTTGACCTTTCTCTCTTAGAATTTGTGCCGGTAAGTTGATGGTGGACACCAACAGACTTAAGAATGAACGCTTTGAACAGAATCCATGTTGATTGTCTAAGAGGTTGAAATTCTCATGCATGCATGTAGATGTTCCATGACTTGGGTTTGTATCATGGCTGCGGTGTTTTTCCTTTGAAGTAAAGTGTACAATAACTGGAGATACACCGATGGGCGGAGCCAGCAAAAACTGTGCCGTGTAAATAAATTATTGAACACTTACGCGATTTCATCATTTTAAATCACATGTATATTGAATCTGAATTACAGAATGAAATGGGCTATAATACAAAGGCTAAATTTCTGCAAGTGAAATAAAAGTCTTTTACATAAATTGCAGTGCGTATCCCAAACTACTAAATGCTTTTACGGCAAATATTCAATCCTCCACAACGAGAAATCAAGTTCTTGACACGAATTTCACACTGAATTATATTAAATATCACACCTATTGTAATAAACCGCTTTAGCAAAAAAAACAAAAAAACAGAAACAAAAAAAACATCTTTGCCGTGTTCTTTGCTCAACGAGAATAAGTGCAGATGTACTGCATCCACAGACGAAGACCCTGACACAGGCTTTTAGTGAACGCGACAGCTCTCAAATATGTCAAATGATCGACGGGAACCTTTTTTCTAGATTTTCGAATAACATCTGAGTTTTCCTTCTTAACTTCGATTTTTTTCCTGTTTGATATCCAAAGGTTTTCTTGTGATATTCATAAAAAAAAAATCCGTGCTTAAATTACGACGGGATGCTGCAATCCGACGTCCTTTCTCGTGAACACACACAGGTAAAATGAGTTTATTAAAAATACTGACAGGAAGGATAGATTATCCATGCGGTCACTTGACAAAAACTAAAATTTCTATTGGTGTTATTAAAATTCATGCATATTATTTGTGATATGACGTTTAATTGGCCATGATACAAGAAAGTTATTGAATATTTATTATGGTGTATCCTGATTTATTTGGACGAAGGGCGGAGACTCGTGCTTCGCACTCGTCACCGCCCTTCGCCCAAATAACTCAGGATACACCATAATATTGATTGGTGAGAATTTGTCAGCGTGTTCATGTAGTAGCTTAGCGGTATTTCGTCAGGACCAGTAGCTTTGTTGACCTTATGGCTTTAAGGAGGGCGTAGGTTCCGTTTTGTGCACTAGTACTGTGACACGATGCATGTCCGGGTAGGGCCTAGGTCCCTGGTCTGGCATGTTCTCATTGGTAAACACAGAGTGGAATTGGTTGTAGATCTCTGCCTTCCTTGTCACAGTATAACAGACCATCAGCCTTTTTAAGAGGTGCAATATATTGTGAATCTTGTCTTTTTCCCTTGAAATAAAAACAAAATATTTTGATTACTATTGATTTCGCTGCGTAAAAAGCTCTTCGATATAGCTGTCGTGGGGTCTTCTAAATTCCCTCTGAGCTAGTGCCTTCAAGTAGTAGCTACCGCTTCGTATTCTGGGTTTGGGATGGATCTGGACTTACAGAGAGCCTTCGGATCAGACACTTGACTGATGGAGTTGATCTATGGTGAAAGTGCCTGCTTCAAAACAGATTGGTCGGACATTTTTCTGAAACACATCTAGATCTATGGCATGGTTCTTAAGCTGGGTTCATAAAACATTGATGTCATAATTTATCACTATAATACAGATGCCAGGTTCTTCAAGCTTTCCTGAATTGCTTGTTTGTCTGCTCTATTCCGTAAGAAAATCTTCCTCTGATCCGGTTTGGCTATAGTGAGCTCTCTCTCTCTCTCTCTCTCTCTCTCTCTCTCTCTCTCTCTCTCTCTCTTTCTTATTCTCAAAACTGAATGCTTCAGAAGGAATGCAGATCATTACAAGAATTTAGCAAGTTGCATATATATAACCTCGTAGTCTATTAAACTAAACTTTACCAGTGAATACATATACTAGCTAAAATGAAAAAGGAGACTTTCTATCGTCCACTTACCAAGCTTTCTGATAAACGTGACTTGAACTTTTCTTTCGTCAACGTCCCTTATTTAACAATATACCATTGTCATCTGTATATTGGGTGTATGAAGGATATGGAGATCAGCACCCAACATCAAAGTCCACAAAACAACACAAAACAGGAGCAGAGCAAACACGGACCTCAGAAACATCAGAGGTGAGACCAGGCGCCACGAAGGAGTGAGCATCCCCTGCCGACCGGTCACACCCGCCGCGCGCTCCCTGTCACGACCGGGAAATAACGGGAAAATCCGTCGTCAATTCAGTGTATAAACAATGGATTAACAACCAGCACGAAAAACGCCAGTCAGCACTCGACTCAACTACAAATTGTATTTGCTGACAAGGTCATTGTATCGACCATAGAACTTACGAAATGATGACTTTAGACGGGACTGTTGATATTCTTGTTTCATCAACTTGCTTGTCAATAATTTAACTCGTTTTAGAATCAACAGAGATATATATACACTGCGTATGCAGGTGATGAAGGTATTTTGCAGCATAAGTAAGGGAAGTTGACGATTGAAAAGTTCAAGTCATCACGTTTATCACATAGCTTGGTTGTTAGATTACCATTAACGTCTTTTTCAAGTAAAATATCGAAGTATGAAACAGATGTGTCAGACTCTGTGGTATCTTTTATATCAAGCTCACCAGGATATATCGTATCGACGTAGGAATGGAAATTACCATAGTTAATTGACAATACGTCGTCGATGTATCTAAATGTTTTCTTCTTTTCACGCATAAGATTTTGAACAAATTCTGTATATGTTTCTCGGTTGATTCTATAAAGAAGAGCTAGTTCTAAGTATGAATAATTTATAAAACTAGACAAAATACTGACAAATTACTTGATGAAGAAAAATGGCAACAGAATCAAAGTCATTTAAAGTTTTTATTTATACACTGAATTATTTATGGATTTTTTCCGTTTTCCAAAATCATGACAAGGATCAGACAGAGTGTGACTGGTCAGCAGGGTATTATCTCTCCTCCATGGCACCTGATCTCACCTATATCTTACAGATCTATATTTGCTCTGCTCCTGATTTGTATTGTTTGAATGGACTTTTGAGCTTGAATACTGTTTATCTCTTTATTTCAACAGTTGTGAATACATCTGGTCCAAAAAGTCTAGTCTGACCATGTTATCAATAGAATATAAAGCATTTAGTAGTGAGCATCTCTGAATGTAGTGGTTTTTCGTTTTTCCTGCCAATCTGGTCCTTGTATTTACATGGGAAAGGACCTAGTTTAAAAACTAGAACCTGATATTATAGGCCATGTGCTGCATCTCAAGCATGAATAGTAGTAAACATTGATAAGTGTAGGTAGAATAGCGAAATGATTTTTGAAATCTTAACTAAAATGCAATTGCAAACAGATGAACAAATCCATGATTCATAAAATCATGGAAATTAAATCCTCATGACTTGTCTCACAGTCTATTCAACTGTTTTCTGTTGATGGTTGCAAAGTTAAGGATAACAGACAAGGCAGATTTACAATGTATCTCTTTGTTGACAAAAGTGACAGTAAAATGAAATTTGAATATTTTTTTATTCAAATATAAAATACATGTATATTCTATAAAAATAAACAAATCTATTTCTAGATGTAGTGCATTAAATATATAACAAGTGTATAATTGAATACACAAATCTATTTCTAGATGTAGTCCATTAAATATATAACAAGTGTATAATTAAATACCTGAATCAAAAAACATTTGCCTTAAATGCAAGATTAATGCATGATACAAGGTACATGTATTGTTTAAATAAAAATATTGAGTTTATGCAAAAGAACATCTGTCAATCAATTTAATTCGTATCAGTAAAAATAATTGTTCTTTATGTCTGATGATTTCAAGTGTGAAAAAGTGGCATTTAATTTACCAGGTATTATTTAACAATTTGTACATTTTTTTCCTCCAAAGTATTTTAGATCTGGGCAAATGACAAGAATGATCTAATTGATGATGGATTCTATAATTTCTCTGTTGATTAGATGATCTAATCTCAGAACATAGTCTGTCTGTTGATTTGATGATTTAGTCACATGACATGCTCTGCACTTTGTTGATTGGATTAAGTCACATGACATAATCTGCTAACTTTTTGATTGGATGATTTAGTCACATGACATAATCTGCTACCTCTCGGCTTGCTGATTGGATGCCAGAAACTTACACTTGTCATATGTTCTGTCATAGCCTTCAATAAAAATATTTGAGGATTGTGACATTGTTGAAATTTTCTTATAAAAATGTATGCATGCTTGTTGAAAAAATAAGACTGAATGTGGAGTGGAAAAAAATGACATAAAATTAATTTTTTTGTATTGTCCAGAAATAATCTTATAAGATGCTCTACTTACTTATATAATACCTACCATATGGAAAGAATCTGACCATCATCTGTATCGTGGTGTTCATTTTCAGAACTCTGACAGCCTAAAAATAATGAAGCAATGACTGAAAAATACTGTAGAAGTATTTTTTCCCATTTGCGCTTAAATTTGTATTTAAATATAATCATAATTTTTCTTATTCTTTTTCTTTTCTTTTTTTTTGAAATTCATCACAGCACGTTGCATACAATGCCAATCCAAGAAACTTCTGTAATTTTCTACCCATAGATTGAACAAGGGAATTAAGACACAAAGATTAAAATCAAATGATCCCCTTGTCCTGTCTACAGTTTGTTATGGGTTTATTTTGACATCTTTCAGAAAAAAAAAATATAAAAACATATCTTCTTCCCTATTTCAAAAAATATAATAAATGTAAGAAACATGTTCGAAGAATTTAAAATTACAAAAAAAAATCTTCCCAATTAAAAAAGAATGTAACATAGGGTATTTAATGCCCTGAAATTTAATAGTCTTTTCTTACCTCAGCATGGTCTATGTTTGTGAAGTCTCTTTTATTAACTGTTAAAATCTGCAAATAAACATGTGATTTTTGTATCTTTCTAAAACTGAATATAATTTTGCCTTCTACTCCATGTTATACTTTAAAGGCATGCTTACAGGACACTTATTTATGAAGGTGTTTTATTAATACTTAAAACAGCAGAATAACTTTTGTGTGTAACTCTGTATGGTAGTGATCTGAATGCTTTGTGTAACCTTTTTTTTCCCCTTTTTTTCTCTCTTACCTGGTCCCCTTCCCTAAGTCCAAGTTTGTCTGCCTCACTGTTGGGCATCACCTGAAATTTCAGTGGTGATTCGTTAATAGTTTGCTGATTCACACATACTTTTATTTATAAAAAATGTACCAGAGACAGGTTTGTGTCACTGATTTGAATTGGATTTGAACATGGAGCCTCTTGCATTGAGCTAAAGGCTTAACCCACTAGCCTAATCTAGTAGAACGCGATGTGTCTTATACTATCACAATGTCCCCCTCCGGAGACTGAGATGTCCTCATCTCTTTTGTAGAGCCTCTGTCTGTTAGGCAAAGTTCTGGGGACGATCACTTTCACTCACCAGAGAACAAGCAGTTCTAAAAGTGAGCATATATGCCTCTGTTTGGGATTGGATTACCAATTGAGCTAAAGGGATAAACCACTAGCCCAAGCTAGTAGGATGCAATTTATTTTACTCTACCACAAACAAATGTGGCGGTCAGCCAGATTTGATCGCCAGTGGCTGGATAGTTCAGTTGGTAGAACATCTAACTGGAGATTCAAGGGGCCCGGGTTGGAATCTTGGTCTGGTCCGCTGCATTTTCTCCTCTCCCATTACACAGACATAGCAAGCACTATATTGACTACATACAGTACCAACCGGACACAACCTAACAGAAAGCGAACCCGGAGCGCACCCCGGGTTCGCTCTCTGGGTCCGCTTCGGGTTCGCTCGGGGTCCGCTAGGGCTGACCCCGAGCGAATCCGGAGCGCACCCAAAGCGAACCCGTAGCGGATCCCGAGCGAACCCGAAGCAGACCCAGAAAGCGAACCCCAAATTCAGTAGTGGTCCCAGAGAGCGAACGCACGTTTGGTGTTTCTTTACAGAGCTGTCAGTCAGGATTAGCGATAAACCAATCAGCGCGTCAACCAATCAAAATAGCATATTGATCTGTCGATTGGGATAAAAGATCGAACGTGTTGATTTAATTCAATATAAATCCAAACATTGTACAAACAAGCAAAACGTGTGAATGTACAGTGTAAACCTATTATGAAAATTAAAATATCATTTTATATTTATTTATTTTAATTCTCGGGGTTTTAATTTATATACATATATTTATTTATTTTTTTTTATTAAGCAATTAATAAATTATATATTTTAATTTTCCACGTAGAATGATACATGAATATTTAAGTATTTATTTTCTTTAGTTCTTATACCAGTATTTAAAGTCCATTGGTAAATGAATTGGGTAAATACATCAGTCAATGAGTAAAAAAGGAAATCAATAACTAATAAAATAAAATAAATAATTACTGACAAAAAGAGGAGAGAAGAAAGATAGTTGGTCTTTGACAATTATTGTAAAATTTCATCATCTCAGGCTACTAACAGTACAAAAAAATTTACGTGCCCATTATTCAATTATTTTATTTCCATATTCTCAATTTACTTGTTCCTTTAAATTATTCAAAATTCACATCAAAATGAAAACATTACATGTACATGTACATCTTCCTGTTTATTTAAAAAAAAAATAGCTTCAGCAGGCTTAAAGAAAACAATTCAAGTACAGGATTGGGAGGACGACTCATAGAAATTTAAGAAAAAGTCATCAGGCTTTATTATTAAAATCTAGTCTAATGATAAGAGTTTGCGTGTACTGTTATAGTCTCTCTCTTTCTCTCTCTTTTTGATCTTGATAGTTCTTGTATTTGTTTATATTCAAATATTTAGAAATTTTTTTTTTAAAGATAATTTTAAATTTCATTAATGTGTGTGTGTGAAGTGGAGGGGGGTGGGGTATTAATATATTCTTATCGGGTCGGCAGAACAATTATTATTTGTCATTTTATTTCTTTTTTCATTCTGATTAAAATCATACTCGCTCCATAATTCTGAGCGTGAAGAAAGATCTGATATAATTTAATTTATTTTTTTAAAATGTCCGGTAAATATTCATTAAGAACTTTAATGTGTAACTACTATAAATGAAATCTAAATATATCACGTGTAGAAAAGGTTAATTTATAGATGTGATATCATAATTCATGTGTTCGACAAGCAAAACTTAAGGAATAACAAATATAATTTTAAACTATATATAATGCATGAATTTGAAAGTTACTCTGTTTAGATGCTTTCGTCAGTTTCACTTGTACACCATTCGAAACATTGAAAATTAATTCAACACCTTTTTCTTCCTCTTCTGTTTTTGTTTTCACGTTATAACTAAAGAAAAAATAAATGCCTAATAACCCGCTGTTAAATTAAATAACTTTGAATTTCTCGGGATCAAAATTCCGAGATCAGAGAAATCAAGAAAATCAATTATACATGTAAAATTACGTCGAATGTACAGTTGAATTTTGGAAAATAATTTATCAATGTTCTTAATGTCACTGTTTACATGTACAGTGTACATATATCGATCGCCGTATAAACAACAATGATCGATCCACAATCCTATTACTGTACTGGAATATACAGGAGGCGGAGCTTACCGGCGGCGAGATTAAAGCGGGGTCCGCTTCACTCATCAGTGCGTAAAGCTGTCCCAGAAAGCGAACGCCAGGTTCGCTCTAGCGGATCCAGAGCTGACCCTGAGCGAATACGGAGCGAACCCAGAGCGCACCCAAAGCGCACCCAGAGCGGTCCCAAAATTTCTGAAAGCAAACCCAAAGCGGACCCCGAGCGAACCCGCGAAGCGAACCCGGGGTCCTCTTCGGGTTCGCTCTGGTGTTAGGTTGTGTCCGGTCGGTACTGTATATACCAAAAATTACTATTGTGTAATAAATAAATTTTATTAAAGTTGGAAATGAATCTGACCTTTGACACAAAAATTCCACAGTGATGTTCCTGGCCACCTCGAATGTTGAATCCCAGCTGTGAAAAAAGGAGTGTACATTATCATCTCTACTGTAAATCAAGTTATCTTGGACATTAATTTATAAAACAATTTCTTTTTCTGATTTTCAAAAAAAAGTTGTCCTTACTCCTTAACCAGTAATTTCTTTTTTAAGATTTGCTAAAAGCTTATACAGTTTCTAAATGGCTTTGATCCATTGCCTACTTTCAAATTTAAAGTGTTTTTTTAGGACAAAGACCCAAACTGGGGTTTATGAATTCAAATGATCATAGATAACCAACAAAATAACATACAGGCATGAATGATTGTCATTTAAGATACACATGTATATGAAAAATATTACTTGTTCTGAAGCTCTCATCCTCTGTAGAATTAACTCCCTTGGAAGGAACTCCCTGATGTCATTGTTGTAGTCAGGATGGTGAACTCTCTATAAATAAAAAATAATGAAATATTTTATGTCACACATTTACACAGAAAGTTCGGAGAAAACAAGTCGCTTAAGTCTGATCATCAATGCTTGGTTCCCTGGCTCATCCTGGACAACTATTTTCACAAATTTGCTTTTCATTTAATAAAGACAAAAAGTTGCAATTAAATGGCTACTAATATTTATACTAGGTATGTTTAAAAAAGCAATCCAAAATGGAGATAAGTTATACATTGATGCGTTTGGACATTTTTAAGTAAAAGATGTATTTCTTGTATTGTTTGAGTAACTGTCCATCACTTTGAGTGCAGTGAGCCGTGGATAAGTATGATCACTTAACATTGTGTTAATTATTTTCAAACCATTATCATGTTAACCAGAACTGGTCTTCTTTGTTATTGCATTCAAGAAATAACTGTTTGGTAAAAAATTAACTGTAACAAATATAGTCCAAAACTTTCAGAATTTTGACTGCAGTTGTGCAGAAAAATGCATATCTTCAAGAGTATTTTTTTCATGAATTGTTTTCAGATGAGTTTACTGTTGAAAATTATCACTGCATCAGATGTACAAGTTCGTGCACATCCTGAGAAAAATGTTAATTTAAGAAAAAAGTTTGATTTTCTTGCTAAATAAAGCTACCTCAGGTAGGTACATAAAAGCTATGTAGGTAATTTAAGCTACATAGCTAAATCTAGTGATTGTACCAGACCTATTTACCAAGAGATAAAATTCTAAGAATTTTTTGACAGCCCTGGGATACACTGCAATAACTACATTAGCCATGGGATCAGTTTTGAAGGGAAAACGCGTAGTGAAACTTTTTTAACCTCTTGTGGTGGAATCCATGGTG